CTGGGGGGGAGGAAGAAGGTCATTGTTGGGAAAACAGCTAAAATGAACATTTTCTGAACAGATGCTTTAGATAATACTTTGATAAATGAGGTTAAAAACAAATAAAATATTCTGGGTGACTTCCAGAAAATAATACATTAGTAAAACAAACAAACTCCAAAATGCAAAGACAAGAAACAGGTATATGGCTGGTACTTAGCAAATCACAGAGGACTGTTCAAAATAAAATGAACAATAGACAGAGTGCGAACCAGCAAGATGAGACAATTCTGCTGGCTTTGGGAGGTGACAGATATTTTTTATTGCACTGGTTTTGCCAAGCAAGAGAGCTTCTGGAAAGCAAGGCTGCTCATTTTGATACACTAAAATATTTGAGAATCCCTTTTTATTGCCTGTTTTTTCTCTTAACCATTCAAGCAGCTCAGCTGCTGATCAAAATACAAAAGCATTGCATGTGTCTAGCAAGTGGATAATGAAAGCGATTCCCCCAGTTTAGTATCTTTGTCAGCAGAGTGTAACGAGAAAAGTAAACAAACAGCATCACTGGTTACAAACTGATTTATGGAATTGTTTGTTTTCGTAATTTTCAGCATAATTATGACTGAAGGTCCTGATGTTGTGGCTGCTGAGAACCTTGTAGGGATCTGGGTGCCCTTAGTACTCATTAAAAGCTCCTTGTAGATGGGATTTGGAAGCACACAGGGTAAGGTCTGTTGGGATTATTTTTAAGGGAAGGTTTTTCCTTGCCCTTTAACAGAATCCATACCAAATAGCTGCTAAACCTGATTTCTTCTGGCAGACCTTTTATGGGTAAAACTAAATCAATATGTATAATTCGGGATAAAAAAAGAGAAAATTTACCCGCAAATTCAGCATAACCTTTTAATTTTATCCTCTTTAATCCTTCGATAATTTTTGTGCTTCTCCTGCAGAAAAGCAATTTTGCTAATCACCTTTGTGCCAATCCCTGCATTCCTGACAATAGCGTGAACAGCTTCCATCAAAGTCTTTGATGTGGGAAAGACACACACACACATATAATCTGAAAACAATTCGGCTCCTTGGCTCTCAATGGTGAGCACTCTGCTTTAATAGAGTGCAAGTTCCGTGGAGGTTTCTAATCCTTTCTGCCAAACAGAAGAGACACAGTCAGGTAGCACACCTTATTCAGAAGTTAAAATAACATGTTACTTGCTCTCAGAGAAAATCAAAACAACTCAAGATCAAAAACAGATTCCGCCAACCCTAACGGGATAGACTTTCTACTCAGGTAACTCTTGATCTAAGTGTGTAACAAGTAACCTGCTTTAATCCCTCAAAGCGATGGTGTTACAGATAAGTACTGTAGTAGCAGAGGAGGTGTCTTAAGTTTCAGAAATACACAAAAGCATTGGTTGGAAGGAAAAACAAAACAAAGAGCTGTCCACATGATTGTGTCTTTAGCTGGAAAGGTGTATTTGAGGGCACTGCAAATAATGAAACCCCTTGAAGACAGGAAAAAAAATAAAAATTGACAGACAGGTATTGAAATGGTGTTTCTTCTGAGCAGGATTTCATTGACTTACACTGTTAAAGCACAAACTTTAGAGGTAAAAGCTCTCTCCAGTTTTTAGCTTAGAAACCTTGCAAGCCATGATACTGGAAGAGTCTACTACTGCAGCACAGAACCCTACCCCATTTTATAAAGGCTCAGAGTGGTTGTGGGCCATGAAGAGATTGGGATCTTTTACTGCAAGATTTGGGAAGGTTACATTATTGATTTTATGATTATACAGCAGCGAGCGCTTGCACTGAGTCCTTTATTAAGAGTATGAACAACGTAATGGAAATAATCATGCTACACATACAGTTTCAGTAATGGTTCAGAATCTTCCTTGGTTCTTTCTCTTGCAGACACCTACACAGGCACTTAACTTTGGCATTGCTGGGAAGGCTATTGGGTTCTTAGCCTGTGATGCAGAGCTTTGAAAGCTCCACAGCAATAACAGTAGCTGAACCCATGCCTGGGAAGTGTATGCAGTTCCAGGTCCGTTTCTCTTTAAAAAGGGGAAAAAAACCCCAACAAACCCCAAACCAAAAGCCTAAGAAAATAATGGCATCTGTGTTTTGGACAAAGAATAATTACTGTTACTATATTGTAAGGCAATTATTCACTTTAGAAAACAATGATACATTTAAGTGCAACTTATCATAATTCTTCTTCGCATTGATCTGTGTCCCCTGTATGGACCATATTTGACCCTCCCTGTGATTACTGCATGCAAACACACATTTCATCTTAGTCAGGTATTTCACAGTTGTTTATACCTTGTTTATACAAATTGGAGAGCCCTAAGGCCCCACTTCTACAAACGCACTTGCCCACACCTTAGTCCTAGTGTTCCAGAGGATCACCCTCTATGTGTTACTTTGCACCTAAGTTCCTTCTGGACTACACCAAGGAGTTGCCTTGGTAAAGTGGCACAGTCATAGTCTGGAAACTGGTGTACACTGGAATATGGGAATCACACACTGCAGCACAACACACGCTATGCAGACGTTGGCTCTGTAGAGTAGCAGAGCCTAAGACCAGAAGGAACCCCTTTGATTGTCTTAGTCTGATATCCTAAGTTAGGATTCACCAGGTCAATTCCTGGTTTAAGATTTAGCATTGTGGTCTTGCTAGGCTCTCCCTCTAAGGGAAAAAATTCCCAACAAACCAACAAAAAGGCTGGTATTGTTTGTTTTTAATCCAGTAATGGTGAATCTACCATAAATCTTGATAAACTGTTTCAACAGTTAATTTTCTTCACTACAAAAGCATGCTTTATTTATGAATTTGTTTCCCATCGCCTTCTGTCAAGAGATGTTATCTCTTTGTCTGCTAAACAGAAGATCCTGGTATTACCAGATTTTTCTTCCTGTTTCAGTGCTCATAAGGTATGATCACCTCACACCTTAACCTTCTCTTTAGAAAGCTAAACAGACTGAGCACTTTGGGTCTCACTATAAAACATGTTTGACAGTCCTGTAATCATTCTTACCACTCTTCTTTGAAACCCCTCTAGTTTTTCAACATCCTTCTTGAAAAGTTGGCTGGACAAATTATTTCCAAAGCAGTCACAACAGAGTCAAAACCAGAGGTGAAAGAACCTCCTGGCTCTTGTTTGTTTCCCAGGACAGCACTAGCCCTTTGGTCACAGCACTGCAGAAGGAGCTCACGTTCAGCTGATTATTCATCTTAATGAAGTCTTTACGGAATTGCAGCTTTGCAGGATAGAGTTACGTCCTTTCAGGGTGACCTACATTCTTTGTTCCTAGATGTGAGCCTTTACATTTGGCTTGACTGAAATACATATGATTTGATTATGCTTAAACTTAACATAGGGTTATGCAGCCACAAGCATCCTTTGCCTCTCGCCCCATGCTTTGTGCCTTCTACAAAGCTTTGTTAATAATGATTTCTGATTTTTTTTTCAGGTTGCTAGTAAGAATATGTGTATTTTTAAATGCTAGTGTAGGGTCCATAAGCTGTCTCCGTGGGATTCTACTAGAGAAAGACCAACTTGGTAATAAATCTGTCTTTACAGTAACAACTGAAGATGGAGAAGTTATTCACATTTTAATAATTTAATGTTTCAGAAATTGCTGAAGTCTATTACAAAAGAGTTTAATGTCATCAAAAAGATATTAATACAAAACTGCATTCACACCAAGTTTCCATAATCTCATGTTAAGCAAAATTTGTTATATTACCTCTCTTTCAGCTGGCTACTTAAGTTGTGTACCAGATGTGCTGTTACTTCACCTGAGCTCAAATTTAGGTTGAGAAATTTTTAATTACTTGGGCCACCTGATTCACTCATCATAAATGCTGATAGAGCATTTGCTGCCTTCTGGAACTTCCCTGACTTCCAGGGTGTATTGAAACTTGGTGTAAATGGACCACAGCTCCTCAGACAGCAGTTTTGAATCTCTCAAACATGAAGCTTCCCGAGTTGGTGATTTTTATGAATATTTGAGTGCTTGAGATTACATAGACAAGATGACCTTCTGGAAAGGATGCAAGTACTGTCTAAAGGCCTGTATGCTATGGTAACCTCATTATATACTCAGATTTATTTTCCTACTCCACTGCGCAAAAGCAGATGCAGACTGCGGTGGGTAAGTGATACCTGTTCAAAGCATTCTAAGCAGATGATGAACTTATAATTTATCTATTTTTTTAATTTTGAGGGAGAAATTTCCCCAAGCATTTCAAGCTTTTGTAGAGTGGAAAGTACTGTAAGAATGAACAACACAACAGTACTCATATTTTCCTGTTCCACTATCTGTGAAGGGCTACTTTGCCATTTTGGACCAGAATCCTTCTGCGTTGTCAGTACTCCAGGCTCCTGTGGATGGCAACAATGACTCAGTTATTATGAACTGTTCTTTGGGAGGCTGTGCTTGTATATATGTACCCAAACGTGTGAAGTGAGACCACTTTTCAGATCCTGTCATAGGGAGCCCTGGAAAGCCGAACTGACTGTGTCAAAAGGTACCTGTGAAAAGACAGCCTTAAATCCACTGTAGCAGGGCCTGCCCTTACATAGGGATACGTGGCCCAGGAATCTGGGAGTGTTTAAAACTGCTGTGCAGCACCAGATGACCCCTGCTGTCACTCTGTGGGTGACAGGCACTCCCGACTGCTTAAGGATAATTAATGAGCATTAATCACCCTGCAGTTCCCCTTCGCAGGAAGGGGTGTAGTGTCTACTAGGGTCGCTCCAGGTGGTGGAGCAGATGCTCTGGTTACCTGCGATCATCGTACTCACCATCGATTATTCACGTTACTAATGAACACGTGGATCAGGCGATGTTACTAATCCCAGCTCGGAAGAATACGGACCCGAGTGCCGGATGCTGTGGGGAGGACATTTGGGCAGGGAGAATCCCAGCGGCTCCCGTTAACGAATTAATTCTCTAACGAGGGTGGGCTCGGCAGCCCTGTGCCCCCTCCCGCCCCGGTAGCCGTCTCCTCCCCCGGAGGGGGGGAGTGACAGCAGCGGCTCCTGCCCCATGTGACTGGGGAGCGGCTGCCCCGTCCATGGCTTGGCCTCCCCCGGGCAGCAGCAGCTCCGGCTCCCGGGGAGGAGGGGCAGGAGCTGCTGCTCCATGGGGAGGAAGGGCAGCCCCCGATCCCCCCAGTCGGAGGGGGGATCCCGGGCCTCCTCCCCCTCCTCCCCGCTTTGGGCCTTACCCGAGGAGCTGCTGCTCCTCATCTGCTCCTACCTGGACGCGCAGGCCTTGGGCCGCCTGGGCCAAGTCTGCCGCCGCCTGTGCTTCCTCAGTAGCCGCGATCTCCTCTGGAGGCGCATAGCCCGTGGCTGCCTCAACTCCGGCTTCACCCAGCTCGGCACCGACCTGTAAGCGCGGCCTTCCCGGCGGAAGGGCGGGGGGAGGCGGCCGCGGCGGCTGGGAAAGGCCGAGGGTCTTGCGGCCTAGTTGGTTGCTAAGGGGCGTTCTGCGCTCCTGGCGTAGTCGCTACGAGGGACTCCCCGCCGCCGTGAGAGGGCGGAGGGAAGGGGAAGCTATTCTCGAAACGCGGCTGCGCTGTCGTTAGTCTGCGCTAAGAGGGGAGGCGAAGGCAGAGGAAGGGGTCGTGGCGCCGGGCCCGCGGTGGGTGCCGCCCCTGGGAGGGGAAGGGACCATGTGTGGTGGGCCCTGACCCCGGCCCTGCCCTGGAGGCTTGAGGGGTTTGTGGGGAGGTGCTGCTTGTTCCCGCAAGGAAGCGGGCGAGGATGGCGGGTGTTTTCTGGGCCCCTAAAGCACCAAGCCCGTGAGTGGCCCGTCAACTACTGGGGCCTGAGGCCTGTTTAGATCGTCTCTGTCTCCCAAACTTCTAACAAGACACTCGGGGGTGAGGGGCTTCAAGCTGGGGCAGTTGGGAGCACGAGGAGATAGAGGGAGCTGTCATGTGCTATCGGGGTGACTACTGTGTGGCCATGCACCCTCCCTGTTTCTGAGCAGTGGTCCTTGCCATGCGGTTGAAGACACCTCAGGGAAGAAGCTGCAAGGGAGCAAGGCCTGCACTGGTGTTTTGGGTAAAGGCTTTAGAGTGGGCTTATGTATGTTACTAGGCACAAGAGCCTTTGTGGTAGGGGGCCCCAGGCACACATTTCTTAGATTCTGTTCATGGAGCAGCTTGCAGGTGTAACTGGTGATGGCTGTTGTAGAGAAGGAGACTCTCAGGCTCTTTGTGGCTTCTGGGTCTTAAAGGCTTGTGGGTAGGGATTGTTACTTGCTTTTTCCCCAGTTCAACAGCACATCACGGGTTGAGAATATGTGTGAGCCCTCTTGGCTTTGCTGTGTGTGACACCAGCATCTTTCTAGATGAAATAGTTTTGGGGCTTGAGCCTTGGCAGTGGTTGATAAAGACCCAGGGATTGCTTTCCTTTCTCAAAATTGCCAGTTTATGAAACGCCACTCGGAGGCAGCCACACAATGTGAGCTTTCCTTGATACTTAGAGGATACTGAGAAGTTGTTTATGTTTGAAGCACATATGAATCCCTTCCTATGGTTTCCCTTTAGCTGCTAGCCCAACGTCTTATTTGTCATCCAGTGATTCAGTATTGTTTCCGTAAATACTACGTTGACATGAATTGAAAGATGGGATGTCAGGTTTTGAGCTCTATTTTGCTGTGTCATATTATTATCTCATTAATGGCACAGACTTTAGAGAAATAATTATGGCTTCTGCTAGCAGGACTTTGGTTGTGCTGGAAATCCTTGTGTTGGGTTTTCAGGCCAATTCCGTCTTCACAGCTTGAAAGTTAAGAACAGATTCCTTGGAAGTCAGCAAGAATGAGTGCTGCAGAATGGCTGTGCACTGGACTCTGTCTACTGTGATATATGATTTTGTCTCCTGAGGAAATGAAGTTCTGTATTTTTCATTAAGAATAAGGTGATACTATGCTACTTAAGTTGCAGGAGGGATCAGGTGTACAGCAGAGCAGGTGCAGCATGTATAAGGACCACCACTTCCCCCTGCAGAGGAATGCAGGTCTATAAACAGCTACAGAAGAGGTTTGCTAGGTCAGAGGGTTTAAGTGAAGGGGAGGCTGCTTGAGTATCATAAGCTCCCAGGGATTTCAATGCTGTTAGGTTTGCTATGAACAGGGTTGGGTTTTTTTAGTAATTCTAGGATGTGCTTTTATGCTGGGTCCTATTTTCAAGTTTTCTTTAAACACCTCTAGTACTGAGTGCTGCTTTTAGTATTGGTCAGCACTGCCCTGGTCCTAGGGAGTTCAGTCATGGGTAACTCACAGAGTACTATTACAAGCTGGTTATGCAGGAACCTTGAGATATATCTGGAGGATGAATCCTTCAATTACTTTTAACTTCTTGGAAGGCTCAGATGATCTTCAGTTCTTTGAAATGGCATGCCAGATCTTATTAAGAGTGCCTGAAAATCAAGCACTTGCATTCCCTGTGTGGAGTTGCAGCATCTGGGGGCAGTTGCAGGAGTTCTGCTCCAGCAGTGTAGGCAGTTCTGGCAACAGATAAAAGACAAAGGCATATTGCTGTATCTTTGGGGTCTGAATAGCTGTACATCTCCAGAAGAACCAGCATGAATGCATGTGTTGAGTTGTGGTACCGTTGTAAAATTTCTGCTTACCTGAAGAAGAGTTTAGTCTTTGTGGCAGCTTGAAGGTTTTAAATAACCCTGTCGCTTCTATACCACTTGCTCCTCATGCGTATCTCCAAGATCAAGAGCAGTCTTCAAGATTTCTGCTCTTGTAACTGAGATTTGTAGAGAGAGGTTATGTTTTATTTGACTAGCAAATACGGGTTGGGGAGGGACTGAAGTAAGCTTCTGGGCATGCAGTTTTTCTTCATAGTAATTCTAAGTAGGAACTTGTCAGATTGCTCACTGGAGGTTAGATTTGAGCTGAGTAGGAATTTAAGCTAAAATATCTCAGGGTAAACAGAATGGTGATGAAGATGATGGATAGCTGGACCTTCTTGATAACTGTGCTTTCTTAGTGATACGGCATAAATCTTGAGTTTGTCAAGATTGGCTTTGACTTGCTCAAGAGCTGAAGCTTCTATTGCATATTCTGGATAACGTTGCATGAGGTGAACACTGTTTTTTCCTTTTAGGAGTTTTTTGTGCAATACTGTCCGCAGTTGAGAAAGCAACGGCTGGAACCGTTTATGGTAAATGTACTTAATGAAGTAGCATGCATGGTTCTAACATTAGATCTTAAACTGATGGTCCCTGGGAGGCTGGCAGAAGTTAAAAACTAGCCTAGGGAGTATTCACTGTTTAAAACAAAAAACCCCCATCTCAGAATAGTTTGATCATTTCTGCTGTTAAATGGCTTCTGATAAGCCATCTGCTAATGCTTTGTAAATAGAGATAAATTTGAGCCTGGAGTGTAAGATAGCTGTGAAACTTATCCCCCCACCCCCACTTCTCCATTTTTTTAAAGGGTGATTAACTTGAAAATGACACCATTCCTTTAAAATGTTGCTTCTATTAGGTGTATCTTCATATAATTGTAGTGAGAAGATGGGAGGGAACAGGCTTTACCTTGTATGTGAAACAACTGTTTGCACAGTCAGCTTGCTTATAAAACTTTTTATGCTGAAATAGAGTGGAAAATTTATTACTGTTTGCAAGCCCCTGTGAGCAGCATGGAAAAGAGAAATTGTAGTATACCTGAAATGATTTGATTTTGGTTTTTAAAATTACCTATTTCTCATCCTGACTATGTACCTTTAAATATTGCCAGTTTGGTAATCTCGGGACACAGGTTTAAATAATTTTAAATGGAGTTGCTAATGTTGTCAAAGGAAGATGTGGACTTAATCCCAGACCCTGGCTGTTATGCTGAAAAAACATATTCACAACATTGGCAATCTTTCATATTTGCCCTTTCTGGTAGATTCAGCTAATAGGGAGCTGCAGATGCAAGCAAAGTTAAGTATTTAAGGTATTGATTTAACTGGGCACTTGCAGAAGAGGAAAGAAATCGGATTTGATCAATGTTTCCATATGCTTCATTCCTTTGGGGGGGGATCACTAGGTTCACATGAGTGTCAATTACTGTATGTGAGGGACAGCAGAGCCTGACTTGGAAGGGTTCTTAAAGCACATTCTTAGAGTTAAAAATGTGCTGTTTCTTCTTTGAATCAGCAATAAGTATATGCTTAATAGGATGCTGTGTCACTATTATGGAAGTATAGAGTGGGTTTAGATGGATGTGGTTCTTGGCACTTGTCCTACAAGTCTCTGTATGTCAGGCTGCCACTTTTTCTGTATAGTCATGTTTATTTAATGTATTGTTAATTTAATTTAATTCCTGTACTGCAACAAGACTTTGTTATGGGGATGGTAAAAAGATAGTCCCTATGCTGAAGATTTTTTGCTTCACTTGGTTGTAAGAGCAGCTGAAGCAAAGAGTTGAGCCCCATCTTTGTGACATAAGGTGAAAGGAGCTTTCTTGTTCCAAAAATGCATGGCAGCATATCACAGAGAAGTTAAGGCTTAAAAGTGCCTTCTGCAGCTAAACTGCAGCTGAGCAGTAGCATAAAGGCTTTGGGGTTTTTGGTGAGTATAGTGATATTACAGTTGTGTCTGGTAGCCTGTGTCTATTTTGCCAGCTGTTGTACAGGCCCAGCAAGAGCAGTCTCTACTTGCTGCCTAAATAGCCGGGGTAAACAAGGGTTGGGAGGGGAAAAAGAGGCAGAGAGATGTCAACAAGCTGCCCTCTGTGCAGCAGGTCAGTGTCAGAGCCAGGAATAGCAGAGGGTGCTTTAAGTCTTCATGCAGTGCCTGCCTGCTGGACCACCTTGGACTGACGAAATCGGAGAGGCAAAGAGCTCATTGCAAGGTGGTTCTTTATTTAAAGCATGGAAGAAAGGAATAAGGTTGCAGCTGGCCTAAACTTATTTCCCCTTAGTTACAAAGGAATTTTAGAGGTCAACTTAAAAGTTGCAGCCTAAATAGCCTGGCAGTATGCTCTTTGTAATATATTAATAGCTGTTGTCAAAATAGAGAAATGTTTCACTGGATGTCTTCTCTCTCTGTCTCCTGTCCTGCCTTGCCCACTAGGAACGTGGTATATTTTCCAGTTGAGAGAAACAGATTCATTAACTTACGAATTTATCATCTTTGAGTATTTAAGAGCTTGTGCAAGCAGTTCCGTGAGTTAATAAAAGCTGTATTTTCTCCAGATCTTGGAAAAATATATACACCTGCAGGAGCAGGAAATGGCCAATCTATGCAAGTCAAATCCTAATGCAAACTGCAGCAATCACAAGAGACCTCTGCCTCCAGTGCTGGCGGGGGAGGGAGTGTGAATGCCTGTAAAGCTGCTTCAGTTTCCTTCATCTTTTAAAACTTGTTTTACCAAGGTTTCATTACTTCATCAGAAATGGAGTAGGCAATGAACTGGTGCAGATGATGCAAAGGGGAATACTCTGGGGAGGATATTGCAATAACAGCAAAATCCTGGAAGAGGGCACACAGCTATTGCTTTGTGCTGGAAAAGTCAGTGGTTTTTAGAAACTCCCATAACGTTTGTTCCTATTCTGTCTTCAGCTGTTAGTTCTGGGCAGGTCAGATCTGCCAGGACACCTCCCTAGTATTGAAACTACTGCTCCTTGTTCTGGGAATGTGAATTTTTTTGTGGGAGTTTCTTAAAGCCTGCCTACCTTTCCCTGAAAATCTTAACGAGTTCAAAGTGGAGGAAGAATTTTATCTAGTTCAGGGCTTAAAAAATGTGTGTTGTGCTTGCTGCTGTTATCCCTGTAACATGTGTAAGTGAGCTAGCTGTGGATTATTTCATTCTATCCAAGTACTACCCTGACAGTCTGCTCTTTCAAATGAGAGTATATGTGACAACCATTGAGCACCTGCAGATTTCCTCAGGTCTTCCCAGGGCCATGCCTTTTTGGAAGCAGCCCAGATTTCATCTCCAAAAAGCCTACATAAGTTCCTGTTAGAGGCCAAACCCTGCCTGGAGTTTCCAGCCATGATCCCATCACAACCACTTGTAGGGGAGAAGGCATTTGATGGCAGAATGGTCTGGATAAGCCTTGGTGATGATGTTTTTTTTGGGAAGCCTATGTGAAGGCGTGTATGTCTGCATGTACAGATTTTTTTTCCGTATCTGTGATTCTGATTAGAGTTTTTGGCTTCCTTATGCAGCTGAATCGTTCACCAGAGCTTGAGGTGTAGAGGTAAATCTGCACAGACTGGTGACATCTAACTGAGTGTAGACGCACTAGAGGAGGCAAGAAACAGCAAGAGAAGTCTGCAGAGTTGTTTGAACCCATGTCAGATAGGAAGGAGGGGAGCACAGGAGGCAGACTGAACCTGGCAGTAGGCTAAGTATGGGTCACGTGCTAAAGGAATTCAGGTGGAATTTTTGTTGTGGAAGAGCCGTTTTGAAAGCTGGCTGACTTGTTGAGGACAGCAACAGGAGCTCCTGACAGAAATAGCTTTTCCCTCTCGGCTGTCTGTTGGTGGCCTGTGACTTGTAACTGCACTGAGACCATGCCACTCAACAGGTGTGTCCCCATTACACAAATAAGTGCAGTTGGTCCCTGCCTTAGCCATCCCTGCCACAGGGCCAAGGTTGAAACTGGGGCTTAGCTACTGTGACCTATTTGCTCCTCTCTATGACCTTTCCAGTCAGGCCTGAGGCAGACTGGTGACAGCTTTTATGCACACAGCAGATTTTGTCCACAGAAGAGATTCGGTCTCAGCAGGTCTCTGCAGATTTGCATTTCCAGATGAGCTCTTCTTAAAATGCAGCAAAACGTGAAGGACTTTGATGGGTTAGGATGCCCCATGCAGCTGGGAAAATACACAGTATGGCATGTTGGTGTTATCTTGTGTAACATGGTATGTGTTGTTGCAGGCAGCATTGTTTTGGCACATGCTGAAATTGTAGATGGCTAGTAGAAATCTCCCTAGTATGTGGTAAAGCACAGAAGCTCTTGCAGTTGCAGAAATAGCATTTCTGGTGGCGAAGGACTTTGGCTTGGGAGGGAATCAGTGAAGGCAAAAGCTGTTGGAAGTGAAGCTTTAGGATGAGATGTGCTTTGTCTCTGGCTGAGTGATTCTTTCATTGCTTTCTTCTGGGGCCTAGGCCAACAACTGCCATGGTGGCTGAGGTCACCTGGGTCAGTGGTGCTGTGGGGGGATAGTCCCAGTCTCTCACTTCAGCAGCTGGGAAGTGGGCTCCAGAAGGAATATTACATTTCTTTTAGTAACTCTGCCAAGAAAGAGAGGAAATCCATAATTTGAGCAAAATACTTTTAACTTTTCTTGTAGGGTGGGGTGAGGTAGGAAGGGGGAAATGAAAAATCCTTTATGATGGGTTGCTTGGGATGGCTTTTATCCTGGAACATTCTCTCAGGCTGAAAGAAATGTTCAGCTTCTCTTTCTTAATGTAGCAAAGTCTTTGTAAAGGGAGCTTCCATCAGGAGTGTCTGCAGTTGGAAGCATTTGTTATCTCAGGTCATGTATTGCACTGCATGATTTGGGGTCCTGGTAGAATGCTTTGGGGTTAATTAGCTAGCAAAAAAGATAGCCTTGCTCTGATAAACTTTAAGAACATTTTCATAGACTCATAGAATGGTTTGAGGTGGAAGGGATCTTAAAGATCTTCTAGTTCCAGCTGTGGTGCCATGGGCAGGGGCACCTTCCACTAGACCCCGTTGCTCAAAGCCATGTCCAGCCTGGCCTTGAACAGTGCTGGGGATGGGGCAGGCACAGCTTCTTCAGGCAACCTGTTGCACTGTCTCGCCACCCTCACAGTGGGTGGTGGATTTCTTCCTAATATCGGATCTAAATCTACCCTCTTTCAGTTTAGAACCATCCTCCTTGTGCTATCACTACCTGCCTTTGTAAGAAGTCCTCACCGACTTTCTTGTAGGTTTCTGTTATGTACTGGAAAGCTGCTCTAAGGTCTCCCTGGAGCCTTCTCTTCTCCTGTCTGAACAAGCCCAACTCTCTTAGCCTGTTTTCATAGGAGAGGTGCTCCAGCTCTTTTATAGTCTTCACTGCCCTCCTCTGGACTTGCTCCAACAGGTCCATGCCCTTTTTATGTTGGGGCCCCAGGGCTGGATGCATTATTCCAGGTGGGGTCTCATGAAAGATGAGTAGAGGGGAAGAATAACCTCTCTTGACCAGCTGGTCACACTCATTTTGATGCAGCTCAGTATATGCTTGGCTTTCTGGGCTGTAGGTGTACATTGATGGGTCATGTTGAGCTCCTCATCAACCAACACTCCCAAGTCTTTCTCCTCAGGTCTGCTCTCAGTCCATTCTCTGCCTAGTCTGTAGTTGTGTCTGGGATTGTCCTGATCCAGGTGCAAGACCTTGCACTTGGCCTTGTTGAACTTCATGAGGTTTGCATGGGCCCACCTCTCAAGCCTGTCAAGAGCCCTCTGAATTGCATCTGTACCATCCAGTGTCACCTCCATCACACAGCTCAGTGTCATCGACAAACTTGCTGAGGGTGCACTCAATCCTGCTGTCCATGTCACTGACAAAGATGTTGAACATTGCTGGTCCCAGTACTGACTCCTGGGGAACACCACTCGTCACCAGTCTCCACTTGGACATCAAGCTGTTAACCACAACTCTTTGACCATCCGGCCAATTCTTTATCTACCAAGTGGTTCATCCATCAAATCTGTGTCTCTCCAATTTAGAGACAAAGATGTCATGTGGGACAGTGTCAAATGCTCTGCACAAGTTCAGGTAGATGATGTCTGTCACTCTTCCCTTACCCATCAGTTCTGTAACCCCATTGTAGAAGGCCACCAAATTTGTCAGTCATGATTATCCTTAGTGAAGTCACATTGGCTGTCACCAACCACCTCTTTATTTTTCCTGTACTTAGCATAGTTTCCAGGAGGATCTGTTCTATGATCATGCTGTTCACTGAGGTGAGACTGACCGGCCTGTCGTTACCTGGGTCTTCCTTTTTTCCCTTTCTAGAAATGGGGATTATGTTTCCCGTTTCCAGTCAGTGGGAACTTCACGAGACTGCCATGACTTCTGAAATAGGATGGATAGTGGATTTTGCTTGAATTTCATTGAGTTTTTACATTCAGTTTTTGCTGTTTTTTTCATCCTTTGTTTCTTGCCGTCTTTCTAGGATGTTGGGCTGTACTTCAGTTGCCCCCTGATGCAGGACTCTGTAGGTCCTGGTAAAATAGCAGTCCTTCCTCAGTGAGTCAGCTTTCAGCAGTCTTGAAGTTCACTGTTGGATGGCTTCTCTATGAACATGAATGCCAAGATCTTGATTTCAGTGTACTTAAGCATGTACTGAATTTTAAGCGTGTGGCTTTGTATTTTGCTGGATTGCATAGTAAGAAAGGTCAAGATATTAATTGACTGGTGGATAGTGGTCCCTCCACGGTATTGTACAAAACATTTGTGTTCATAAGGTAATTTTATCTCCTGACTCTTTGAATGTTTAATCCAGTTGCTGAAGTGAGAGATACTCAATTAAGTCAACCACTTGGTGCGGATGTGTGATGTCTGCTGATTATCTCAGGTCATCATGGAACAATTCTTAAAGATTTACATGTATAGAAAATGGGTTGATCATGATTGAAGCAAAACAGTCTTTGCAGGGGAGAAAAGGGTCTTTTTTATCAAATGATTAAGTTTATATGGTGATGCAGTTTTTGACTCTAATATTTGAGTACTGCTCAGGTGCATTGCAGTGATGTTCACCTTGTTGATGTATTCTGGGAGTTGTTCTGGGAGATGCTGTTTAGGAAACAAATCAAATTATATCTTGGCACTTGATTCCATCACTGGGCTTGATTTAACTTCTCTTCTGCTATAGGGGATCAAATGTCTCTGACGGAAACGTGAAAATCATTGCAGTTCAGCCTCTGCTGCCCTGATATTAGTAAAGGGGAAGGACGCATCCGTCCAATTTCTACATTCCCTTTCTCATGGCCTCCATATGTTCTGTCCCCTTTCTTGCCTCTATTGTGAATAAATAAAATGTCTGAGAAATAAAGGATGGATGTTTCTAAGACATGTTTAAATTAGCTGGATTCAGAATTGCAGTATGGCAGAGGCAGGCTGGATGAATAATGTATCTTATTAACAGTAAAAGAAACAAAAAGACAAAACAAGCAAATAACCCTCCAAAAGCCCACCAGCCTTCCCTCATAGAGATCACAGAATGGTTTGGGTTGGAAGGGACCTTAGAGATCAGCTAGTTCCAACTTGCTGAAGTTGAAGGCCAGGGACACCTTCAACAAAACAAGGTTGCTCCAAGCCCCGTCCAACCTGGCCTTGAACATTGCCAGGGATGGGGCAGCCCCAGCTTCTCTGGGCACCCTGTGCCAGTGCCTCACCACCCTCACAGTAAAGAATTTCTACCTAATACCTGATCTAAATCTACCCTCTTCCAGTTTAGAACCATTCCTCCTTGTGCTATCACTTCATGTCCTTGTAGAAAGTCCCTCTCCTGATTTCTTGTAGGCCTCTGTTAGGTACTGGAAAACGGCTCTAAGGTCTCCACAGAGCTGCTCTTCCCCAAGCTGAAAAAGCCCAACTTTCTCAGCCTGTCATTGTAGCAGAGATGCTGCAGCTCATTATGTTCTTCATGACTTCCTCTGGACTCAATCCAACAGGTCCACAACCTCTTACGTTGGGAGCCCCCGAGCTGAACGCAGTCAGCTATAGCTCTTCCCACCCAACCCTCGCCCTTTCCAGTCAGGAACTTTTGATTCATGTGAAAGGAAGAGGTGTCTGTTACAAGCGTAACTGCAGTAGTGAACTGGTACTCTGGGCCAAGCCACTGTGTGACTCTCTTCTGGAATTCCTCTTTCAGCAGTGGGAAGATCAAGACCTGCCCCCAGTTAGAAAAGTGACCAGCAGCGTAAGATGGAGGCTGCCTTTTTTGACCATAGATTCACCCTTCTTGGAGCCTTGGAAATTACATCTAGGTTTAGTAGGGTTTGTGCATTGAGCTCAGGATGTCTGGATGGGCCGGTATGGGTTAGGAGGGGGTTGTGGCATGAGTGTGTTTTCCATCACTGTGCAAGCTGGTGACTTAAAATCTGTACATGGTGAGAACTTCACTGAGGGTTGAGTGTGGGGAGGAGAAGCCTTTTGGAATAATGAATGGAATTGGATGTGGGCGGAGAGCCTGAGCTCTGCCTGGGAGAGTAATAAGTGAGGAGGAGAGGAGGCTGCTGGACCTGACCTGACATTTCAGTGGTGTGGGTTCGTCATCTCAGACCTCCTCATCTGGTCACATAAGCTCCTTCAAGTGCTACCTTTAAAAATAGGAATTCCTCTTCCTGTAGCCTAGGCTAACTCTATGGGTTTGTCTATTATTTTTTAGAAAGGGTTAGGAGAAATAAAGAGCTCATAGCTTCCTAAGTTCAGTTTTATTTGGTGTGGCTCTACTGATCATAAACTTATGTCACAAAGCTTTCTAGGGGACAAGAAGCTTTTTTATGTGTGGTTGCTGGTTTTGGTTAAAATGGGTCGCATGCTCAGGAATGCAGTCAAATTATAATGGTGACTAAGTGCTGGAAAGCATAGAAAAGGGGAGGGACGGGTGAGCAGAAAAAAAAGGAGCCTGAGGCTAGGGAAGGAAGGCTGGGAAAATGAGAATCTGGCCAGACCCCAGGGCCAGGTTAGAGATTCCTACACCCATTAACAGCCACAGGATATGTTTATTTACGGAGAGGTAATCTTTGTTTTAAAAATGACAGAGTGTCCCCAGATCCCACTTTTGGGAAGTGCGTTGAGGGCATAGTAGGGATAGGAGAAGGGAACTTGTTCTGATCAGGCACCAATACCCATCTCTCAACGATCTTCCCTTCATCCCTATACATCTGAGAACATTGGATCTTGAGAAATGAATGGAGGATAAACTTTTATAATCTAGTCAGTGGTTCACAACCCCTAGTTACAAAGCATAACTTCAAGAGTTTCTTCTTGTACTTTTCTGATCTTTCCTACCTAAGTAGCTCCACCAAAGATATTGAATAATGAAGTTTATGATATGAGAAAGATGGGAGTTAATGCTGTCTTTTCCCTCCCTCCCTCTTTAATCCACTCTGGATCGTGAAGGCAAGACAGATGTTGAACAGCTGCTTGAACTGAGTATGTTTATGTAGACTCTGAGACCTTGGTCCCAGGTCTTGGTGGTACCTACCTTTTGTCACCTCTTGAGTTGTGCTGATCTTGGCTTTCCCCAGCTTATCCCAATAACTTTGACTTATATCCCAGCAACTGCTTATTAAAAGAGAGACTACAGTTCATGAGTTTGTCTGACTGTGAGTAAAGAATTTTCCAGCAGTGTGGTGGAATTCTCTATCCTTTGGTGAACTGCTGCAAAAGAAAGTCTATCTTCGGGCATGTGTGCATCAGGTGGTTGGTTATACAGATGAATGAATTTTATTTTTATTTTGAACATATCGTGATTTCTAATTCTTGTATCTGGCTATGTGATTGTCAGGCAGGTCAGGGTCTGGAGCAGTTTCTTTACTGGTCTTCTGTCTAGACACACTCTCCTGGCTTCTAGTTTCAATGTTCTGACTAGTGTTTCCTCCATCTGTTCGTGTGTGGTAGTGTCCATTTGTTAACTGGGTTAATTTAGTTTCTATTAGAAAAGTGATGTCCTTTTTCTCTGGTTGTTCTGGTAGCTTCCTTCCATGTTGTCTTGCTTTGATTACGTTTTGTGTCAACCTGTGTTGCATTTGGTGTACTAGATAGGTCTTAATCAGATTTAAGGCTTGTACACTAATGATCATCAGGGATGGCTTTCCATGCTGAAAAGCACCCACCCTTCTCAGTTTTCCTTTCTTGTCAACTCTTAGGAGTTTGCTTACTTTAGTGTGGCTCAGGCACCACCAGTGTTTGCCTGCTCATCATTTGTGGAACCTGTGACCAGCTTGAGTGCATTTGTTGTTCATACAGCATCAGTCCCAGTTGTTAATCTCATCTCTCTTCTTCTGTCTGCAGAGCGCCTGGCATTCCAGTGAAGGAAAGGGTGAAAGTATCTCAGAACTGGAGTCACGGACGGTGCCAGAGGGAGACAGTCCTGAAATGGAAATGCAAGCAAGTGGCTCCTTTGTCTTCTGCTTTGTTCTGTGTCAGCTGCTGTCGGGTCTTGGGTTTTTGTCTGTGCCCTGAAATGAGATGTTTCCTGCTCCTTGTAAGACTTTGTGGATCACAAGTGATGTTGCTGGCCTGTTTTGGGTGTTGCTATCTGGATGTGGCGTAAAAGGAGTTTCTGTCTTGCCCTAGAGATTCACTCTGAGAATTGAGAGTTACTTTCTTACTAAGAGCTTGAATTTGTCATTATTCTGATCTGTGCAGTTCTAGCTGGATTTAGCAATCTTTACTACAGGCTTTAAGCTGTTATGTTCCTATCTGTTGCTGTATGCCATGGCAGTTTTCTGTCCTGCTCTCACAATGAGCATACCTTGATCCCAAATGTGAACTTGTGTCCCCTCAAAATACTTGCTTTGTCTGCTGTGCTTTATCATGGCCCCTGATTTGGCTGTACAAATCTGAAATGCTAATTGCTGTTGTTCTACTTTATGCTTCCTCCTTCACAAAAAAAAAGTGTATTTGACATTAGTGAGAGGAGATTGTTGTTAAATTCTTTCTTGCAAAGGTGTACTCAGCTTTCAAAGCAAAGCATAAGGTAGGTCCCTTGTCTGCACAGCACATCTACATTTTCAGCCTTCACATCATCAGACAGTAGATAAAATGAGCAAGACTGTGGTTTGTTAGCTGCTGAAGAACAGGGACCTTCTACTGAGCTTTTCATGCTTTTTGTGCTATGTAGATTGAAGTGGAGGATAATGTGCCACTGCTTGTCTAAAGTCCTGGGAACAACTGTAATGAGCAGAATGGGTTTTGGTGCAGGTTGTATACCTGCCTTTGAAGTGCTTGCAACCATCTGTGAAGACAGGCTCTGTGGATATTAGAGATCATTACTAAACCAGCTTCCCAAGTGAAAAAGCAAGGACTGATTTAATGAGGTCACCATCTGAATGGCATCCTCTAATTTTCATTTGTCCTGCTTCAAATTTGTTGCTTCTCCTTACGAAAAAGTCATAGAAAAAGGTAAAAAGCTAAACTGCAGCAGGAGGAGAGCCACAGAAACTGGCTGTAGCCTAAGTAAGCTGGATATTCACTTGCTTTTAGAGGACTGCGTAGGAGTGGAGGAAGGAAAAGGAAATCAAAGCTTACCTAAACCCAGAGCTTCTGCTCCAGAGATGCCTTTTACTTTTTCCATGCTTATGATCAAGTCCCAGATGAACATTATAGCCTATGTTCAACTGCTTTATGTGACTAAAACCCTGTTATTGGAGATAAATGCAGGCGAGCAGGAGCCTTCTATTTGATAAGTAATCTTGTCCTCTTGCTTGTTTCTGGTTCTAAATTGTGATGTTATGTGGAGCGGCTATGTGTAATGACTCTTCTGACAAAGAAAACTGTGACCTCTGAGAATGAATGATCTGCAAAAAGAGGGATACAGCTTTTTGAGAAGCTTCCCTGCTTTCAAAACAGTTTGTTCCTGAATAGTTTGAAAATTGAAAGACTGCTCTGTGGAAAGGCTCTGATTTTGCCCAAAGTTTGCATGGGTTATTGGTGCACTCAGCAATGTCTGCAGAGTGGAGGCAATTTTACACATCCATGCCCAATAGGACACAAGCCCCTTGTCTCTCTGGATATGGCAAGGCCAGATGCAGAAGGCATATTTGCTGATTCTCTGGTGCTTAAGAACAAAGTGCTCTCTGCTCAAATGTGTAGTATAGCCTGTTCTGTTTTCTGTATTTTGATTTTGTTTCAAGAATAAATAAACAAAACTTTGATGACAGACTTGATTCAGACATTGCTGGAGTGTCTCCTTCTTGGTCTCCCAGGAAGTGAAGCATTTCTTCCCCTTGTAATTTCAATCTTCAGAATACTTTGGAACAGCTCTTTTAGCAGTCCACTGCCCTTGGCATGGCACCTGTCTATAGGAACCTGCCACTGTCCCATAGACAGCATGGGGCAGAAAGGGTGTATGTGCTCTTCTGAAAGACAACAGAAATCAAGAGATTGCTCTGCAGTTGCTTTTGTTTGAGAGGTGGAAGAGGTGTGAATGTAGAAAAATACCTCCTCTACATGATGATCACAAAGTGCTTGGATAGCTTCAGACTTACCCTGCTGCTTTACATATCAGCATACAGTGAATGGAAGAGGTGAAAGACTTTCTGCTTCTAGGAAGATGTGTGTTATTTGATGTGACCTGCTCAGATGCATGTGAAATACTGGCAGCTTTGTGGTCTCTGCTGAGCATCAATAAATAATGTGCCGGATCAAGACTGACTGACTGCATGAGGAGCCTCATATCGAAGGCTGTGTTAGAAATGCTCAGCATAGCTCACAAATGCCTGATAGTATCATTTCTTAAAAAGTACAGGGCTTGTGAAGAGGGGTCAGGGAGCCTTAAGTATTTCCTATCAGAACTCAGTAGATTCTTGGCCATCTTCTCTTTCAGAGATTCCATGCTTCCTTTACTTCAGCTCTTGGTTAGAAAAATGCCAGCAATGTGATCTGCTTTGTATGTTGCTGGAGAAGCCTCACTTGTTAGCTGTGCTGCTATATTAAGCATGTGAGCAGCAGCTCCAACTTACCAGTTTTCATGAGCGGGCATTTGCTTTTGTTGATATGTTTACATATGCAATCTTCTATTTCCTTCTCGTATCTTATTTGTGAAGTTGTTTTGTTGTCTTCTGCCTGCTTCTGTACCCCCTGTCCTGGTTTAAGCATGGATAGAGTTAATTTTTCTCCTAGTAGCTTCTTAGCTTTCTTCCCAACCTGCTATCTGTTTGCAGTTTGATGCCCTGGATAGAGCTGGATGGCGAGTACCTCTACTTGTCTCAAGCAGAGAACATCCAGGCCTACAGGCTCTGTCCCGATGGTACAGGTTTGCAGCGTCACCCTCAAGCTATCTTCTCTGGCCACCAGGAGGACGTATGTCGTTTTGTTCTTGTCAACTCTCACATCGTCAGTGGAGGGGGGTAAGTTGGGTGAATGAAGAAGCCCAAGGAGTGCGGCAGTGAAGTTGCAAAGGCTTTGTGTAACTCCAGCCCAGAGCAGAGAGGTCAATCTTGCTACAGTGTCCTCATACTTGGCTGTGTTCAACTGCTGCTGCTTCCTCTCATGATTTGGTTCTGTCCTGAAAAAGTTTCTACTACAGCAGTAGAGGAGCAGAGTGTTGTGCTGTTGATCTTATCAAGTGTCCTTTTCTCTTTTGAACTTGTGTATATATCCACAGGATTGTTGAATCAGGATTGAATACCAAGTAGAATTGCAACCCTGGACTTTAGCAGGGCAAACTTTGGCCTTTTCAAGCAATTGCTAGGGGAAATCCCATGGGCAAGGCTGCTTGAAGGTAAAGGGGCCCAAGATAGTTGGTTGACATTCAAGGACTGCTTTTTCCGTGCTCAAGATCGGAGCATCCCGACACGTAGGAAGTCAAGGAAGAGGGCCAAGAGACCTGCGTGGCTAAACAGGGAATTGCTGGGTATGCTCAAGTGGAAGAGGAGAGTTTACAGGTCATGGAAGGAGGGGCTGGCCACTTGGGAGGAATATAAGGCTGCTGCTAGAGGATGTAGGAAGGCAGCTAGGAGGACTAAGGCATCCTTAGAATTAAACCTGGCAAGAAGGGTCAAGGACAGCAAAAAGAGCTTTTTTAAATACATGGCAGACAAAACTAACACCAGAGGCAATGTAGGCCCACTGATGAACGGGATGGGTGCCCTGGTGACAGAAGATAAAGAGATGGCAGAGTTACTGAATGCCTTCTTTGTCTCTGTCTACTCTGCTGCGGGCAGTCCTGAAGAGCCCTGTACCCCTGAGACCTTAGATGAAGTCAGGTCGACGGAGCGGTTTGCCTTAGTCGATGAGGAATGGGTTAGAGACCAGTTGAGCAATCTGGACATCCATAAATCCATGGGTCCAGATGGGATGCACCCGCGGGTGCTGAGGGAACTGGCGGAAGTCATTGCTAGACCACTCTCCATCATCTTTACCAAGTCTTGGGAAACGGGAGAGGTGCCTGAGGACTGGAGGAAAGCAAATGTCACTCCAGTCTTCAAAAAGGGCAAGAAGGAGGACCCGGGTAACTACAGACCGGTCAGCCTCACCTCCATCCCTGGGAAAGTGATGGAACACCTTATCCTTGGTACCATCTTAAGGCATATCAAGGATAAGAAGGTTATGAGGGGCAGTCAACATGGCTTCACCAGGGGGAAATCATGTTTGACCAATCTCTTAGCCTTTTATGAGGAAATAACACGGTGGATGGATGATGGCAGAGCGGTGGATGTGGTCTACCTTGACCTCAGCAAAGCATTTGACACAGTCTCCCACAGCATCCTCGCGGCTAAAATGAGGAAGTGTGGACTGGATGATCAGGTAGTGAGGTGGACTGCGAACTGGCTGAAGGAGAGAAGCCAGAGAGTTGTAGTCTATGGGGCTGAGTCTAGTTGGAGGCCTGTAACTAGTGGAGTGCCTCAAGGGTCAGTACTGGGACCGGTATTATTTAATATATTCATCAATGATTTAGATGAGGGAATTGAGTGTACTATCAGCAAGTTTGCTGATGACACTAAGCTGGGAGGAGTGGCTGATACGCCAGAAGGCTGTGCTGCCATCCAGCGAGACCTGGATAGGCTGGAGAGTTGGGCAGGGAGTAACTTGATGAAATATAACAAGGGAAAGTGTAGAGTCCTGCATCTGGGCAGGAACAACCCCAGGTTCCAGTATAGGTTGGGGAATGACCTGTTAGAGAGCAGTGTAGGGGAGAGGGACCTGGGGGTACTAGTGGACAACAGGATGACCATGAGCCAACACTGTGCCCTTGTGGCTAAGAAGGCCAATGGCATCCTGGGGTGTATTAGAAGGGTGGTGGTTAGTAGGTCGAGAGAGGTCCTCCTTCCCCTCTACTCTGCCCTGGTGAGACCCCATCTGGAGTATTGTGTCCAGTTCTGGGCCCCTCAGTTCAAGAAGGACAGGGAGCTGCTGGAGAGAGTCCAGCGCAGGGCAACAAAGATGATTAAGGGAGTGGAACATCTCCCTTATGAGGAAAGACTGAGGGAGCTGGGTCTCTATAGTTTGGAGAAGAGGAGACTGAGGGGTGACCTTATCAGTGTCTATAAATATATAAAGGGGGAGTGTCACGAGGACGGAGCCAGGCTCTACTCAGTGGCAAACAATGATAGGACAAGGGGTAATGGGTACAAACTGGAACACAAGAGGTTCCACTTAAACTTGAGAAGAAACTTCTTCTCAGTGAGGGTGACGGAACACTGGAACAGGCTGCCCAGGGAGGTTGTGGAGTCTCCTTCCCTGGAGACATTCGAAACCCGCCTGGACGCATTCCTGTGTAACATTATCTAGGTGTTCCTGCTCCGGCAGGGGGATTGGACTAGATGATCTTTCGAGGTCCCTTCCAATCTCTAACATACTGTGATACTGTGATACTGTGACTGATCGGACAATCCCAGCTGATGTGCAGTTTTAATTTCTGTCCCTGTTAAGAGTCAGGGTAGCCCAACAGTGTTCTGTTATTTGCAGTTGCTGGTTAACTCGGGCCACAGTGGCGCATAGTGTACGTTTATTAGAAGTACTGGTATAATCGTGGAGAGGGGGAAGACTGCCAAGTATTCCAGCACACACACACACTTCTCCAAGTAATTTTGCATCTGACTAGCCTTTTTCAGTTACAGCAAATAACAGAACTGTTATTTACAAAGTTTTAGCTATTAATATACATGGCGCTTAAGCACAGAATTCAGAGATTCAGGCATGGCTGTCTGCCCTGGATATCTTGAGACTCTCCCCTGTGAACTGTAGTCCAAAATTCAGGTGAAAACAAACACATGCATTTAAAATTCCGGTAACTGTATTGGTTGAAAAAAAAAGTCTAAATACCTTTCTAGTTAATTCATAGCGCAATACCTTGCACGGCTGCTCTCAAATGAATGAAAAGCTGAGGCTTGGACATGGGTGAGAATGACCTCTCACTTTTTCCCTTACTCCAGTCATTGAGCATCCAGCCAGGATTCTGGCAAGCTCAAAGCAGTAGGAGGAGGAATGGCTGCGCTGCTAGTTTCTGCAGCTTAACACCAAGTGGAGGGTGGAAAGAGAGCCAGGAAAATTTTCATGTGTAGCAGATCAGCCTTTGACTGGCCAGATGTGAGATGGTAAGAGAACAGGTGATGTGTGAGGAGTGGAGGGTTAATAATGCTGCATGAATTTCAGCTCCTGTGAGAGATCAGTCCTGGTCTTTTTGTGGTACTCCTAAGCCCTAATGGAAGGTGTATGTTCACGGGAGGTGCAGCTGATACAGACTCCCTTCCTGGGGATTTGTTTTTCAGAGATGGAAATATTGTCCTTCACAAGATCCATGGCTCCTACAGCATCAAGTTTTCTGCACATGAACAGGAGGTGAACTGTGTGGACTTCCAAGGTGGCCTCATTGTCAGCGGCTCCCGGGACAGAACAGCGAAGGTGAGCAGTGACATTCCAGCAGCTGCAGGTGCTGCTGCAGAGGTGACTTCAGAGGTCTTGTGCCATGAATGTTTAAGTGTCAGCAGAACCGTTGTGAGCCTTGTCTTGTGTGTCTGCAGGAGGAATGCAGGGCATCTTGCTGAGGCTCAGGTCTCTGAAAAGATGCTTACTGTGCCAAGCTTTTAAGAAAGAGATTTGTCACTTCGTGACATCAGCTGCTGGTTTAAACTAGGAGGTGCAGAAGGCAGCAGCTGATGTTTTGCTTCTTTTGCTGTACATCTGTCTAACACTGCAGTGGAGATCCATGCAGGTAGTCTGAAATTTGTTGTATTTGTCTCAAGCACATCCTTGCTTTGTGATGCAGTTCTGCCTCACGTGTTCTCTATTGTATATTCAGTCTCTTTAAGGGATAGCATGATGTCTTTTCCAAATCTGGGGGGTTGTGGTTTATTTATTTGTGGTTTATGGTGGTGTGGTGGGTTTTATTATTATTATTATTAGTGCTTGGGGGTTTTTTATTGTTTGGGTTTGTTGTTTTTTTTTTAATCATTCTTGGTTTGCAAACCAGGAGTGAAGTTAGACTATGACTACTGTTAGCTCCCATTTTTCTCTTCCAGCTGGCATCACTAATCCTATCACACAATTTTTGACTATCTATTTTTGAGGCAGGACCTTGTTGACTTTTGCCCTTCTGGATCTGGTTGGGAGTGTTCTATTCCTACATGGACCTGGGGAGTTTTTCTCCTGAGCTGTAACCAGCTCTGTTCTACTAGTTTAGGAAACTGTATGTAGGTGTCTTGTCCTTGTTCTGCTTGCATGGTGTAACATCTTCACAACCACTTGTTTCATTGTTGGAAGTGGTTGCTGTATGTTGAAAACTTTGGCTGTTGCCGATAGATACTCTTGGCCCCTGGTACATACTGTAGAGTATTAATGGAGGAATTCCTGTTATTCCTGTTTTGCAAAAGGGGAAGGTGAGGCAAAGAAAGACTTAAATGTCTCTTTCAAAGATTTGTAAGTGTGGTAGTGGGCAAGTCTCTGATGGGCTGCTGAGCATCATGACCCTATCTATTCTTGTTTTTCCCTCTGTATGGGTGTACTCCTGGGTAAAATCACTCCCAAGCAGAGCAGTGTTCAGATGCAGAGGGCACTGCTGGGGATGCTGCTTGTCTTTTGGGAGCAATGCCTTGATGCTGCTTTGTCTCACACTTAAGCAAGACTGCTTCACTATGTTCTGTGGAGCCTCTTTGCTGGGAGAGTGCCTTCTTGCTGCTTCCCTGGCAGCCAGAGGACAGACCTTCCCGACCTTGAGAACAAATTCCTGAAGGCCAGAGGGGAATTTAAGGCTGTTTTTCTTGGGGCTAGTGTGAGATCTTGCCCACCCAGTGCTTGCCACAGCATAGGCTCTAGGGATGCTCACTTCTTATTTTTTATCATCTCTTTTGTGGGCTGCCTTGTTTGCGTGAATGAAGCTCTTGGAGGGTGGAAGGGAATCCCTACCAGCCTTTTAAAGGGGCTCTAAGTGTCTAAACTATTGAGGGCTCTGCTGAGTGTTGATTAGGACTAAGCCCTGAAGAGCTGCTAATGTACATTCCTGTGTGATAGGCACCAGATAGTGTGCTCTGAGCAATATTTTTAACCTGTAGGAGATAGGGATGCCTTAAAAGAGTTAAGCTTTTCTGCTGCTTTTGCTGACACTAGGTGCTAAATTCCCCGCTGACAAGAATAGCCTGCAATCCTGGGCATTATCAACAAACAAACAAATAGGGCACTCCCAGCTTTGAAGTCTTGAAGTAAAACATTGGGGGTGGGATGCAGAGAACTGGGGGTCTCCAGCCCTGTGGGCCAAGAATGAAGGCAAGGTGGAGAAAATGAGGGCCACAAACAGAGGTCCCAGCAAGAATCTGGGGCTGTTTATTAGGACTTAGAAACAAAGGGGTGTGTGGTGAACTGGTGGAAGGGGATGTGCATGTATGCACTCATGGGGGAGGGAAGACACTCTCATATTGTCAGTGGCAAGGGGAGTCTGAAAATAGCCTGAGGTACACATAAGAAACTTGGTCGAAAGGGAGTGGGTTTATAGAAAACTTATTTTACACAGTAGTGAACGATTAATTTTATAGATAATATGAATGGAGATTTTTCAGGGCTGGTACAAAATCTTCCCACACTGTTCAATTGAACAGCAGCGATTTAAACTAATCCCACTTCTTGTTTATTTAACTACAGAAGATGATAAGTTGCTGTGGTGAGTGCTGCCCTAGAGAGCATGTGATGATAGGGGTGCTCACTCTGTTACCAGTGGGATGGAAGGTCATACTCATAAGCTGAATCTTTGTGTGACTTTTAAGTGCTTTTTTTCTGCAAGTAATTGAAGGCTTTGCTCCTCAGAAATAAATCATGGGAACTAGGGAGAGCATCTCAGGGAAGGTGAGTTTGGCAGCTTTTCCAGCACAACATTAAGTGTGCATCCTACCATCTGCACCTTCTGGGTGATGTGGCATAACATGCATCTCTTTCTTTAGGTTTGGTCCCTGTCCGCGGGCAGAGTTGGGCAGTGTCTACATACAGTGCAGACAGAGGATCGAGTCTGGTCCATTGCTATCAGCCCATTGTTAAGGTAACTGAGATCTCTTTATTCCCAATTTCCAACAGAGAGAAGTAGAGGATTTGGATAGGCTGTGTCCACACATCTCTCCAAGGAACCAGTGTGGTGCTTCCAGGGACTTGATTTGGGTGGAGGCGGATCAGGTGCTTGTGCCTGCAGTGGGAGCTCAGGGAGGACTATGTGGTCTTTGTTCTCCATAACAGTGGAGTGGTCCCCTCATAAAGAGGCTGTCAGAATGGCCCTAAGTTCCTGTTACTGTCTTAGGTGATACCTGTTTGTTCTTACTTGCAGAGCACCTCTCTGACTTGCTAATTAGAAGGAATGAATGAGATCCTCTTGACCTTTTCTGTGCTGAAAAGGTGCCAACTAGTGTTTCTATTCTCTGACAGAAGAGACGCCAACCATAAAGGTGCCCACCTGGGAGCCATGTGCAGTGGTTAGGGCTTGGTTTTCTTTGAGCATGTGGAACTGGGAAAGATTAAGTTGGAGTTCAGGGATGAAGTGTTCCAGCCTCTATTGCCTGTAGCCCTGTGCTTCTAGTATGGGCGTAATGCTACAACTACAACTTCTGCTGGTTGCTGCTCTAATGGAAGGTTTCTGTACGCCCAAGCTAAACTTCAGAGGCTTGTGCTCTTACAGTGCAGCTCCTCTGGCTTCTGGCATCTTTCTTGGATATTCTGCTTGGAGTTGTCCACAAATCATTTGTCCACAAATTTGTACCTACACTAGTGTCTTCTACAGTGTTTTTCAAAGTGCTCCCATTCTTGAAGTGAAAATCTGAGAAACTTAAACTCTCACTGTTAAAATCTTACACTGGCAGCAGCAATCTGTCTCTTCAGTTCATGGTTAAGCTGGTCTTCTGCGTGCAACAGAGATTCTCCCTCATCCTTCCTCAAGGAAGAGGGGAGGAAGAGCTGCTGTTTCTGGCCATGTGCTGTCTGCAACTGATGAATTTTAGACTTGTGCAAAACCAAAGTACTTCCCACAACTGCTGTCCTCATTAGACTTCCAGGCTTGTTTTGCAGTCAGGAGAAACTTAGTGGTACAGGGCTAATGGCATTATCAGGGAAATGACCCTTGAGACCTGCTATGATTTTGCCATTCGCTTGTCCCATTGCTGTGATTGAGATAGTGTTTTTGAAGAAGTGCCATGTGCATTAATGCTGCTGCAAGTTGTTAGAAGCCCTCTGCTGTCTTCTGTGCTGCAAGGGCCCCTTTTCTAGCAGACAGGGTCTGGCTCTAGCACCATGGCTGGTTAAAGCCCAGTGGCATGCCGCTTCCTGCTCCTAAGTGATGACCTACTGAGGTGGCCTCTTGTCAGGACAGTGTTCCTCTCCCTGGTGTGCACGCTTGTGCCCACTCTCTGTCACAATATTTACCCACAGTCTCCTCGCCCCCCTTTTCCTTGCTGCAGAGTGATAAATGGGAGGTGGTAGAGCACCTACCCCATGGACAAGTGGGCTTAAATTGTGCACTCCTGTTTTCTTATGAGACTGTGGACTGTACCAGCCTCCCCTGTTAGCCCTCCCTACTGTCGCCCCCCATCCCTCTGTGTTTTGGGGGGGGGGACAAGGTGGGTGGAGAATTAGAGCCAATTAGCCACGTCATTAATTCTTCAATTTGACGGCTGATATAGCAGAGCCTGAAACACGCTGCTGACCTCGTATAATGGGAGCCCTGCTCCTTCACGTATGGACACTGGGAGAAGTTAATTAAAATTCCACAGAGAGAAGGTGTCGGCTAACCTATAAACCTGTCGCTGCTCAGAACAAATCACAGCCATCCCAGAAGAGAGAGAGGATCAGAGCAGGAGGGCATGTGGTGGGGGAGGGCCAGGGCAAGGGGCAGGGGAGATGAATTTTTCACTAATAGGTTTTATTGCTTGGTTTCTAATGAGGGTGAGTATCAAAAAGATAATATCTGGTTTCTAGCAAGGTCTGCTTTGGGGAGCTCTGTGATTTCTGTTTTACTTGCAAGAACCCATATATCACCCATATGCTTTCCCTATGCACTTGTGTGTGAAGCTTTTCCTCCCTTGCAGTCCCCATCCTTCTTGCCTGAGCTTCGATGCATTTGTTCCTCAGTGAGGCTGAACATGACCTGTAACCTCCACTTCCTCCTAAACATCTGATGTGTCCTCCCAGTTCTCTCTTCTCACTTGTGCTGGTATAGAATGAGAGCTCTTCCATATGAACAGATAGTTCTGATGATGTCAAACTGCTATAGAATCAGGCTCCAACCACTTAAGTATTGTGGTCCAGTGTTGCGGAGAACCCACCACTGTGGACATGTATTGCTCAAGAATAGCCCAAAGCAGTTGTGTGCAGTAAGGCAGGAGCAGGGAGGGCTCCTTTACCTCTAGCTATTCAAAAGGGCTTTGGAGAGGCTGTGGCTTCCTGACCTGGAGGTTTGCCACTAAGACTTTCTAGAGTAGTCAGGGTTGTAGACCAGAACTTGCTTTTCAGTGATATCTTCCTCCGTGTGAAGCTTACTTAGAAAGTATCCCATGTGCACCTGACTGCTGGGTTTTCTGCTGTAGTCCTGCTCTGCTGGTTGCTGTTCTAATGGAAGGTGTCTGCACACCCAAGTTAAACTTCAGAGACTTGTGGTCTTAATATGCAGCTCCTCTGGCTTTTGGCATCTTTCTTGGATATTCTGCTTTGATTTGTCCACAGTTTCCCTGTGTTAACTACAGAGATACTCTTATAGATATGCTGAGCTAAAGAGGAGGCTGCTTTGTTCTTGATGTAGTGATTGGTGGGCTGGATGCTTGGAGGGTCTGCAAGCTGAATGATGCCCATGAAGGAGATTAAGTAGGGTAAAAGGCAGTAAAAAGGTAGTACTGGATCTTCTCCTTTTACTGTGCAGGGGAGAAGTGCACTTAGCCTTTTGTATAACCTTTTCAGCCATGGAAGTGCCTTGACATTCATGTGTGTTACTGGAGTGTCATTGCTTTGGGGATCCCTAACAGCACCCTGCAGGGTAGTGGGGATAGGGTAGACATTGTGCTGCTTCTGGGTTTTCAAGAGGTCTTCTGCCTAGCTGTGCTGGTTGATACACTTGGGCCAGCAGGTCCAGCATTGCTTGTCACATCAGGGACTAGAGAAGAGTCTGAGATCATATAGGATACTTAAAATAAGGGTGCCTCAACTTGTTCTGGTTTAATTGGTCTCCTTAGCTGTCCTCCGTGGCTGTACTTACAGAAAGGCTGTATACCCTAAACCATGTTTCTTAGCTGCTTGTAATCCCCTTCCACCTGAGTTATTTGCATTCTGAGCCCTGCGTCATGCAGATGTTAAACTTTCATTTACTGGTGCTTACTGCAGTGACTTATGTGTGCTCAGGGACCAGGGCAAGCCTGAGTGCAGTGGACCTATTCAAATGTGCAAAGTGAGGCAAACCCAGGGGTTTCTTTTGGAGTAGTGGCACCTTCATGCTTTGTGATTCCTTGAGGTGGCAGTAGCCAGGGAAGAGAAGTTACCACTGTACGTTGTTTAATTTGAGAGATAGGTTTATGGAGAGAATGAGGTCCAATTGGCTGGCATTTATGGCTGCAGAACCATAAGGCTTACTATATGTGTTGTGCTACTGAAATGTTCCTTTTTTTAGGGGAAAAATAGTTGCAAGTTGTTTTTCCCATAATGATAGAGAAGCTTTTAAAATGGACAGGGAAGGAAAAAGTGGACCTTGATGTTAAATTAATTAGTAATCTTGGATTCAGAAATTATTTGGTTTTGGATTAAAATAAGTATTCAAGTCTAAGATGGCTTCTCCTCCTGGGTCTGGCCACAGACACTTACTATTTAGATTTAAAAATACTTATCATGAGAGCTGTCTTCCCATGTTGTACTCAAAGTGTGTCAGATTTTAAACCAGTAAAAGAGATGACAGAGGCACAAAAGTGGTTTTCAATGTGCAAGTATGCATAAAGAGCTAGGAAACCTTTGGCGCAATGCGGGGCAGCATCAGGCAACCATGATGTGCCCAGCTGTGGCAGAGAGATGCTTTGGGTGTGTAAGCCCAGAAGATGGTCTCTCCTTTTCCAAACGCATCATTGGTTTACTGCAGTGACCTCTTGTGAATGTTGCTTTGGTGAACTGCAGGTTTACTCCAGAGAGGAGGAAAGCTTGTACCAAAGACAATAGCTATCTGCTCTGAATGTTTAATGTAAAGGAAAATGAGTAGGTCTCTGAGCAGTTGAATTTAAAAAGCCAGGCTTGCTCTCTCTCTTTTGCTTATGCAGCATTGTAGTTGAGACCTGACTCCCGTTTTAACATGCTAATTTGTATCTCTGTTAACATAATTGCTTCTCCAATGGAATATTATGGGGAAGTAATATCCGGGGAGACCTCTGCCCCTGTGGACAACCTCAGACAAATTGTAAAACATACCCAAAACTTGCTGGGGAAAGGAAGGAAGAGAAGGGTTACTGACAGGCACCTTGACTGAATGGGCCTCTCTTCCACTGGGGACAATCAAAATGATTAATTCTGAGGGCTTCTTTTTAATGGTTATCTGGAAACTTTTTGTGAAAGTGAAACAATCTGATCTTGCAGATTGCATTAGCAAAACAACCCACTTGAGTCAGAGAAACTTTGCAGTAGTTTTAACTATAATTGAAGCCCTAATGTGTAGCAGTTAAAATGTTTTGTAATGTTCACCCCCCATTTCCTGCTCCACTTTTATCAGCAGATATCCCCTACTGCATATCAAGATGAGCTGTTGGCTGTAGTGATGCTCTGTTGTGACCTAGCTTTGCACAGTTAACCTCTCTGAGTCTGCTAGGAGTTAGGACAAGTAACTGGGGTTTATTCTGGTTTGTGCATTGCCAGCAAAATACCAGGCAGCAATAGCTCTGCTGTCCTTGGGGATCCCTGTAGAGCCTGGTTGGTTTGAATAATTGAGAGGGGACTCTGACCTGCAGCTGTTTCTTAAGTAGGGGCAGGAAGAACCTGCTCAACTGTGAGATCCCAGGGTGGACTTGCAGAGTTAGTGGTGGCATTAACTACCAT